TCAGCAAAAGCAAAATTAGCAAAACTATTACAACTATTACTAGGAAATAGTATGGTGGTTAGGTCTTTAAGTTGGGAACTCTTTTTTGCTAAAAAGGCTTTATAATACAACTTAACGGCTTCTTAGATGACAAAAATATCTTGGTGGGAGAAGAGGGACTTGAACCCCCAACCAATTGATCTACAGTCAACTGCTCTGCCAAATTGAGCTACCCTCCCAATTTTGGTGCTGATTGTAGGAGTTGAACCCACAACCTACCGCTTACAAGGCGGTTGCTCTACCAATTGAGCTAAATCAGCTTTACATTTATCCCAGTAGATTCTGGAGTAATGTTAAACTTTTTCTCTTTGTTCTTTTTCTGGTATTACTTCTTCCTTTTATTTTTTTCAAGAGGTAAGCAAGTATTTTTTTATCGTTTAAAAAAGTTATGCTTTTACATTTAATTCCTCAACCGTCTGGAAATTGTGCTCATTCTCCTCGCAAAAGACAAATTTTTCCTTCCAGGTTTACAGGAAACAAATAATCTTTTAACAAATCTCATGTGAAAGAACATCAAAATCATCCTTCTTCATTTTGAAGTTTGACCAGATAATATTTACTGCGGAATATTCTAAAAACTGTGCTATTGTTTGGGCCACTTTATTTTTTTAATAATGGTAGAGTATACCGGATTCGAACCAGTAACCTCCCGCTTGTAAGGCGGATGCTCTCCCGTTGAGCTAATACTCTTTCTTACTTAATTATTAATTTTTGTTCCAAAACAATACTTAACTCCTAAAAGTGGCAAGATAAGCAGAATTGTTATGCTTACTGCATTTCAACAGATACGGAGAGCGAAAGTCCTCGCTTTTTCATTTTTTCTAAAATTGAATACCAAATTGCCGCATGGTTTTGCAAAATACCTCTATCTTGTTAGGTAAACTTTTAGCAGTCTTTTTTTTACCGCGATAAAGATAACCATTACGGTCAAAAACAATTTGGTTTATTCGGGCTTTTTTCAACTTGTCGGCCGCAACTTCCCCTAATTTTTGAGCCCAAGATATATTTTTGCGAGATTTAGTATCGGCTTGCTTAAAATCAAACGTAGAAGCCGCAACCAAGGTATGACCTTGGGAATCATCAATTACTTGAAATGATAAATAACGATTAGACTTATAAATAACCCCTCTTGGTCTCTCGGGAACACCTTTAACTAGATTACTTCTCCTTTTTCTTAACTTGCGTTTAGCATTCTTGCTATCCATGTTATTAATATTTTTATAGGGCCATTATCCATTAGTATTATCAAACCAGTTGACCCGAAAGAAAAATTATGGTCTTTTAAATAGTTAGTATAAGTAGTGTGAACTACCCACCACCTATAGAGGTGGGGGCTTCTAACAACTCAGAAATTATTTCTCAATTCTACACAGCGCCCA